TGTCAGTGGGGTGCTTTTTTAATTTTTTTTTTTTTTTTTTTTTNTGTATGTTCATGTGTTCTATCTTGGTCCAGAAATCATGTTTGAGATGTCCACTAAATACTTCATTCTGTTTTCTTTTTGGTTCTGTTATCATGCAGGAAACTATTAAATCAGTAAGCACATTAGCAAAAAAAATCCTTTATTCTTGAATACTATAGAGGCCATTTTTTGATGCTTTACTCATATTTTATCCACCTGATTTATATATATATATATATACACACACACATTTTTTTATTGTGCTTTGTTTTGCTTTGGTGAAGTTAAGTCATAGAACTAGAAGTCAGGAGTTCTGGGTGTTATTTCTTATCTCAGAAAATTGCTGGAGGTCACCTTCTGCTAGTCACTTAACCTCTCTCTGCTTTACTACAAAATGGAATTTTAAGCTCAGCAGGTTTTTGAAAAGTAATTCATTAATGTTTTGCAAAAAAATGTTTTGTTCTCCTTGGCTGGCAGGTGCTGGAGAAATAGAATTTGCATTTCTATTTAAATACTGAAATTATCTAGTACCAAGGTTCTCATGTTGATTCTGCTCTCCTGTAATCACTTAAAATATTAAAGGCAAGGACAAGGTATTTTAAAAAGCTCTTGTTTTGTAACAGCTCCATCTTTAAGTTCTGCTAATGGCTATCTCTTGTCAACAAAGTGCAAATCAATTTCAAGGCTAAACCCAAACTCTCTCATTTGCATATTGTTAACTGCTCTCTCTTTTCCTGTTAAACAGGAGGAAAAAGTCAATTAGATATGAGGCAGCTGTCTTATTAATGAAGGGGTGGGATAAAATGCGAGGAACTCTTCTTTTGTAGCATATGCTTCTGAGCAGCTTGTTTTTCTGAACAAGGACAACTGCAGAGTACTAAGTTTTGTCTATTGCTTGCAAGGCTTCTGCTTTTTTTCATTTATAGGATCTCATGTTTTCATTGTCAAATATTACCAAAATGAAGAGTTGCTCTGTACTTTCATTGTAACCAAATCCCTGTCAGGCCAGAGGGATCACATGAAATAGTGTAGTTGACAATTACCATGCATACACATACATTAAAAAAAAAAAAAATCTCTGTCATGACATTCCTTTATGATTAAAACTTTGTTATAAACCATGAATGAATTATGGAAAAGAAAGCTGGAAGAAATCATACTGATTAGCCAAAGGACTTGGATAAAATGACATTTCTGAGACCTTTATTCTAAAGGATTATTTACTGTCTACTTACAGAACATCTTAAGTCGTTTTGCAGAGGGAATCAGTTTCCTGTTTAGTGCAGTGTTTTTGTAAGCTAATGAGGGCAAAGCGTGAGCCATAGGCAACGATGCTGTGATATTAGCTGTGACAGGGAGCTTGATCATAATTATCTTAACGAGGATAGGGTTAATTACAGTGGAAACTTAAAGTTTTTTCTGTTTGAATGAGGCGGCACTGAATACGTTGTGATGTTTTGTCGGTTTGATGTGACTTTGAAAATTGCAGTGGAAATCTCTTGGCAACACTTGCTCTCCTGTGGGAGCAGAGTGTGAGCCCTGCAATGAGGTAACTGAGACGGTACCTGTGGGTGAGATAATGGGCAGCTTTCATGACATTAGAGCAGGGACAAGCAACCTGCAATCCACCTCAGTGATGTTTATTAGCCTTTTGAAAGTAAGGGAAACAAGTGCTTGCCGCAAGCCCTTCAGTGCTAGCTGCATTGTTGTGCTCAGATTGTGTGCTTGTTTTACTATACTAATATGGGGAGACATTTTTTTACGCTGTGACCTATAAGAAAACAGTGCAGATTTAATTTTTCACTGGTCCTCTTTCTTAGGGGATTTCCCTATTTTTATTCTCATCTCTTGGGTTGCTTCTGCCCTTCTTCCTATGCTGTGTATATGTAAGCATTCCACTCCTCTTTTGTAATGGGCTCATAAGGAAATACTTGGAGTACATTAATATTAATTGCTTAACCTCATTAAAAATAAAAATGAAGAGTATTTTGTACTGATTTCTGTCTCAGATTCTCAAAAATGCTTTCTCAGTATCAATTTACAATTGCAATTCTTCCTTATCCCCCACCTGCAGATGGGAAATGGAGGCTCATGAAAGTTATGGGACTTGCTGAAGTTTGTACCATAAAACCAATTGTGTGGATTGTACTTAAAACTTTTACACCTTGGAGTACAACTGCCGGGCAATATTTCCTAATATATTATGATGGTAGAGATTGTTGCATAGAATTTAGTAGGTAGTAACACTGAATGATAGCAAACTCATTTTTTCCTTTTTTATCTCTTTGACATTTTTGTTTTGATGCTGTTTTTTTCTTCTGTTTAAGATGAAAAAAAATTCTATGAATAGCAAAACAACTTATGGCTTTAAATTTATATTAATGGCTACACCCTCTCTCTGTACTGCGGCAACCCCTCCCATCTCCCTGGACCCTGAATTTAGGTGATTAAATCACCAAGTGCACACTGCTCTGATGACATGAAAACAGCAATTATAAGCAACCCCCTGTGTAACATGGCTCCTTTTTAACTGAGCAGCTAATAACATTACATGGCAAAAATTATCAAAACCAGACAGGTGTAAGGAGATTTGCGCACAATTTTCTCTGCCTATCTATGAAACTAGTACCCTTGTGTTCAGCCCAGGGTTGTGAAAGAAAGACTGTTTCAATAGGCAACTCCCTCTAGTGTTCCAAGGCCTTTTGTCCCACTTCATGGCTTGTCATTTTGTTTTATGCCTCCCCTGCAGCAGTTTTGGATGTGCGCTTTCTTCTCCTTGCCAGTTGCCAACCATTTGCTGATTCTCATGATAAGAGTATTATATTTGCATAACATAACTCAGGAACAATGTGTATTTTGATGCTGACACTGACCAGAGCCCAAGCAGTGTTTTTTCACAAAGGACCTATTAACATCCCATAAGGCTCTGTGGTGCTGACAAGGAGGTGGCCTTCTCTGAACTCTTTTGGCAAGTCAAAGTCATACATTGAAATGTGAGGTTTGGAAATAATCCACTATTTATATAATAAAGAGTATTTAAGGGGAATTTGCTAAACTAGGTTTGTCAAACTGAAATGAAAAGTTGTAACAGCTTGATAAACTCGCTGCTACTTCCTCTGAGTTTTTTGCCTTTTAAAGGGACTTGGGGGAAAGCACTGTCTGAGATGCTTGCTGCTTTCTCCTCAAATCTTGACTTTGGCAAAACCAGGTCTGTTGTGACCTTTAGCTGAAATAGCTAGCTCAATGCAGCATGCTAGCACAGCTTTTAATGGTGAACATTTTATGCAGGCTGAATTGAGATTTTTTTCCCAAAACTGTTGGTTAAAGGCACATTGAGAACATGTGATTGTTACTTCGGTGATTGTTTTACTAAAATGTTTATAATAGACGCCTTTATTTTTTCAGCTTCAGAAATTGTAGTATCAACGCACTGTAATGATATGGATATGCCACAGGATATAGGTGGCAAATTTTCTTCAGGTCTGGCTGCTGGGCATCAAAATGGAATTAGTGATAACTGTAGCCCCTTTTCAAGTCAAGAGACTTTGGAGTCCTTGGACTGAAACACCCTGTTGCAGTGTTGCACGAATGTTACTTGAATATTCATAGTTTAACGCGCAGTACCCACTGTAAAGGTCACACACGATTTCTTTTGGTTGCTTGAGCCGTCTAAGTGTGATCTATAAGTGGTCTGTAAGTTCTAGCTACAAAAGCATTATCTAGTTTTTGTTGCCCAGATGAATGTTAAATTGTCTTTTCTAACGAGACTTGTGTTTTCCTGCAGTAATTGTATGTGTGGAACATTCTAACAGGGACCTTGGCTGTACTTCGATCTTTGCCAAAAGCTGGGGGGAGGGGTGAGGAAATCCCTTCAGTATAAATGTCATTGGAAACTGAATAAATAGTATAACCTGCATCTCCCTTATTCATCACATTTTACAAAACAGCCAGGAGATACAGTGATGATCTTCCCACTGGTAGGCATAGTAGATCAGCTGTCAAGTCGTGCAATCTCAGCATATCTTTAGGTGTCTGGTAGGTGAATGAGCTGTGAATGCGTGTCTGTGCCTATGCTTTGTATATCCTGTGTCTTGGTTGATTAATGTGTGGGGTTTTTTAACATTGGAATGAGCAAGCATTAAGAATCAAGCTTGGAATAGATGCCTTAACGAGGTACTGAAATGCTCTTTTTTTAGTTTTGGGTTTTTTTTGTACTTTGCTATGAGAGGAATGAATGCTTCCAGAACCTTGTTTATTTACAAGTCATCATCTTCACTACCATGTTGTCAAATGCTCCTTTTTAAAGCTGCTCTCTGCAGTGTGACCTGTGGCTTGACAGTGGGACAGTAAGTTCCAAGAATAAAGCAAATGACTTTTCTGTCTGGAGTAATTCTGCATTTTATTTTGTAGAGAACATTTTATTTTGTTTGCAGCAACTGAAGAAACTAATTAAGAGGTTAATAAAAAAGGAGGGAAAATCCCTTCTACATTTCCTATTATTGCGTGTAAGGTAACTACTAAGAAATGATACTTGAAGTTGTATTTATTATTGTTAGCAGGGTATGATATTTCTTGGCAGAAATGATGGATGACAAGTTAAATTTGTGTCCAGGGAATGAAGGTGAACTGTGACAGAGTTATTTATCTTGGGAATGGAGGTTAGGGTCAGGCGAGGCTGGGTGCCTGAAGGCACAAGACATTGACAAATTCATCCTGCAGGCCCCATATCTGAAGCCTTTTGTTTTGGATCCTGGCTACTCACTAAGTGACCCGCATCCTTCATCCTGCCAGCATGTGAAGGATGTGTTGCAGTGCCAGCACTCCCCTTGCCACTAATGCTTGTCATTCACTCTTCTGACAGGCCCAAACCAAAACTATTCCCACTCCTGAAAGGGAAGGTTAAAATATTTATTTCAGCTCTTAATGGCCTCCCTGATTTAGTGGAGTATCATTTTTCCTGTTGCCTTTGTCGTTTGCAGGTCACTAGAAGGACTGAAAACATTCAGTTACTTGGAAGAACTGATCTTGGACAACAATCTACTCGGAAATGACCTTCTGTTACCCAGGTTACCCCACCTCCATACCTTAACGCTCAACAAGAACCAAATATCCTTTCAAAGAAATACCTGCAAAATGTCAAATGAGTTTTATGTGTCAGCCAAATTAAAGTATATGAAATATAGTTCATGTGCAGACAAAGCATTCTCTCGTTTGGCACCTGGAATACTTCATAGTAATTTATTACAGGTCATTCATAAATGAAATGCACCATTATATCTTCCTGTTGCTCCATTTTAGTGAGAGATCTAAGTTATGGCTCTGAAGAAATCTTTCTAATAGATAAAATAGAGAAAGAAAATAATGTCAGCGCTACCCGTGTGCAGCAGTCCCTGTGTTTGTTGGGGTTCTGTTGCAGGCTGACCTCTAGTGGAATAGAGCGCGCAGTGAAAGGGGATTAGGTTTGCACGCTCTAAATAGCTCTTACAGCATTAAAGTAAAGTAAGATAAAATTAACTAAACCCACATATTTTTAACGATTTTCTCTATTTTCATGAAACTGGTAATATACACAATTGGGTAGCTGCTGTGCAACTGCATCTGTAAAAGCATGTCACTCTTTTTGGTATTCCAGTTCTGTATAAATTCACGTAAAATACTTTCCAAATCAAGGCCTTGATAGAGTAAAGTCTTTTGATGTATGACTAAGTCCAGTTGCAACCAATCAGTCACTTCTTCATATGCCTTAAGTTAGTGCCTATTCTGTTTATTAAGAATAAGTATTTCAACATTTCATCTAAATACTCTGCTGAATCAGAGCCCCTAGTCTGTAAGTTTATAGATAATAGTCTGTAAAAACTAATTATGTGCAAAGTCTGTGGGCGTAGACTTGATCGTTCCATAATTTTCCCATACTTTGACCCATCTGGAAATCTGAAGATGTGTAATGTATGATTTTACAAAGTGAAGGGTGATCAAACCGTGGCCAAAAGGCCAACTGAGGCCCGCAGAGTCTTAGAGCACAGCCCACTAAAGCCTGGCCTTGTAATTGCAGCGTGAGGACAAGACTGCTCAACTGCAGGCTTTTATTACAGACAATGTAAACAGAGAGCAATTTACCTCCTACTAAAGCAAAATCCTCCTACTGAGGGGAATAAAAATAACTGCAGATTCTACGATTTCTGCACTTATTTTTGACTCTATAAATAAATAAAAATCAGCAGAGTAACCTTTTATTCTTGGAGCCGTGGAAATTTGCCAAGAGTGTCTCTTGAACAGTAATAATCATTACTGTACTAGGTATTTGGCTGGATTTATGGTTAATGCAGGGTATTGTGGGTTGGATTTGAGTAACTGGTTTTATTGTTTTGTTTGCTGCCATGGTAAAATCTGAACTAATCTGAGCAAAGAATGTACAAGAACATTTTTGGTGATGCCACTTACAAACCATGGAGTGTTACTTTGGCCATAAGACCAAAAAGCAGGTAAGTATATTTGTCCTATGGGCAGCAGTCCAGGAGGAGTTTTACACTTACCAACAGAGGTATTGAATACTAACTCAGTGAACAAAATCAGAGGGAAAAAAATTATCCTGTCAGTAGTACTCTTTAAAGAGTTTCTGCTGGTCTCACAGAAAAAATGGTATTGTCAAGTAAGTAACCTCTCAAAGACAATGATAATATGGTAAGAAGGATTTGATCTATCCTGGGATTTTTAAAAATTCAGTCGAAAAGCTATGAAGTTAGAACTTTGAAAGTATTGAGCTACCCAGGTTATAGAAGTAAATTATGCATTTTGTAGTGTGCTACAAATAATTTCATAGAGGAGTTGCAGAAATACTTGTAAAACACCTATTGTATACAAACTGCCCAGAGAAGAAGAATTAAGTGCTGTCCATCATTAACATCCTGAACCCTGGGGAGCAGTGATCCCTTGTAGGAAGGATATATCAGTCTACAGAAGCACAGAGACCCTCCAGATTCCTCTTCTCAATGTTAATGCTGTGTTTGAAAGAGGTCTTATTTGAACTTGAATCACTTCTATAGAGAAATAATTCATTAAAAGAATTCTTTGAAAAATGTTAAGAAAAAAGGTCTATTTAATAGAATAATGGAATACATTGCAGGAAAGATTGTTCAGTATGTGACAATAGCACTACATAAAGGACACAAGTGAGCAAAGAATACTGATCTGAAATAAAACTTCAGTAGGTGGAATATTGCCATGTATATATAAATATATGCAGAGAAAGAGTGAGAGAGAGATGAAAATAAACAAAAAGCCAAACTAACCCCTTTGAAAATTGGAATAGCGTGTAAGCTTTAAAACACATATGAGAGCTTTCCTGAGTGCCTCTTAATATAACTGTACTCTTCTCTCCTTTTATTCTGGCTTCATTTTGATCCATATCCTGTTTCAATAGTTCTGATAAGAGCTTTCTATTCTTTTTGTACAGTTAACTTACTGTGTGGCATTGTATGTGTAAATAACATTTGGGCCCTCCTAACATAATGTCTGGATACTGTACAACTGTGAAAGCTTATCTCTAAATCAGGCAAAGACTTAGAGGAATCACCTGGTATTCTTTTCCTCTGGTTGAATATTTAGTTACAGTCAGGCCACTACCAATTTTTCTGCTAGAAGTGGAAGAAGCAAATTAAAATATTGCAATCAAAAAATGTGTTTTTGCTCAACTTTTCTGTAATGTACAATCTGTTTAAAATCTTTTAAAATGCAGTCTATATAACAGAAATGTCTAAAGGAGAGTCACCAACACTGTGCAGTGTTGGATTATGCACATAACATGCTTTATTCCATGTATGTAGTATGTTTTTTGTTTTTTTTTTTAAGTCTGATTTACTTTGGGAAACATATCTTAGTTTCTTTCTCGCACACAGTGGACAGCAGAAAGCAGCACAGATCAGGACGGATGGGGGTAGATGGGAAGTTGCTTTTGAAGGAGGACTTATGACTGCAGTCAACTATGCCTGTAATGGGAAGCCTCATTTCTCCTTTTAAGTGTGTTGACTAGATACTACAAATCAGTCAGGAAACTTCTAAATATATTTATTTCTCTGTGGGTGTTATAGCAGTTTGAGGTTTTGTGGCCTTTCACTGTGCTGATCTTGACCAGTATAAAACAATATAGCATGGACATTTCAATCTTTATAGTATTTGTCAAAACTACTCAAATGGGAAGTTTGAAAATTTGAAAAAAAAAAACAATCAAAAGATAGTTTGTCAAATATTTTATTATATATACGCACACACATACCTTTATGCTGAAAGTTAGCTGTTCACTGCCTCACTTCAAAACAGACAAGTCTGAAAATGAGCCAGATCTGTGATTCTTTGTAGAAAACTCCATTTCTTTTCTTAGTCCAGTAAGCTGGTCATACGTTTAACATACATTCTATATACTTTTGAGAAACTGGTACTAAAATTTCTTGAAAAAAAGGAGGCCATGAGGATGGTGAAGTGTCTGGAGGTGAAGCTGTGTGAGGAGCAGCTGAGGTCACTGTGTCTGTTCAGCCTGGACAAGAGGACACTGAGGACAGACCTCACTGCAGGTACAGCTTCCTGGGAGGGGCACAGGAGGAGCAGGCACTGATCTCTGCTCTGGGGTGACAGGGACAGGACTGAGGGAATGGCTGAAGCTGAGGCAGGGGAAGTTTAGGTTGGATATCAGTAAAAGGTTCTTCCCCCAGAGGGTGTTTGGGCACTGGAACAGCTCCCCAGGGCAGTGGTGACAGCACCAGCCTGGCAGAGCTCAGGCAGTGTTTGGACAATGCTCTCAGGCACAGGGTGTGACTCTGGGGGTGTCCTGTAAAGGAATTCAATTTAGTCATCCTGAAGGGTCCCTTCCAACTCAGCATATTCTGTTATTTTGTAGTTGAATCTAGGTCTAGGTTTTGAATGGTTTAGGAGTAAACCAAAATATTTCATACCATAGAGTGGGAAATCTAGAACTGGGCAGAATGCCCATATTGGTATGTACATTTCTTATGGCAAGAGGAGTTATCAGTGTGATCCAGATTTAAGTATTATATGTTCTTGAGTCTTTGAAAGCAGCATATATTAAATACCTCAACTGAAGAACATACCAGTAAGTACTTCTGGTATAATTTGTCTTCACACATGTCTCATAATTGTCTCTAATAGTGACAGATTTGCTTAACCCCAAAACTATAGATTGTAATTTATTTTGCCTCTGTGCTTGTTCCTACATTGTCCTTAAATGCCTGAAGACACAGAAGTCCTAGTCTCACCAGAATCTCATTATATTAAGTGCTGAAGACTTGGTGTTTAGATTGAGTGAATACATTAAAGACACAAATTGTCTCCTATTATATATGGTTCCCTGTTCCCTCTAAACAGACAACTGAACTCTTCCTACATAGGTTTCTGAGTTCTCCACACCACAACTGTGGATTTAGGGAAATCTGTGTGGCTTGTTAGAGAACTGCTGTACCTAATGAGGCAAGAATCTTTCTTCTAGAATAAAGTGTACCTGAAGTAAAAATTAAGTCATCTGAATGCCTTCATGGAAGAGAGAAGTAGTCTTCCACACATCTATGGAAGAGAGAGGTAGTCCCCAGTCCAGGTGATTCCTTATGCCCTTCTACAGCAGTGTTTGCAGGAGCTGAAATGCAGATATCAGAACTTTTTTAAAAATTGTGACCTACTACTTCATTTTTGTCTTTGTGGTGTCTTGTTACTTAATTACATTGAAATGTGGTCTTCGAATCTACAGCCTTGAAACCATGGGGATTCTAAAAGGCCTCTAAAAGCACTGGTAACTCCAGCTACATAAAGAAAACTAATGCTGCTCCAGTAAGCAAAATGGAATTTTTTTCCCCATATATTCAGTATGCAGGAAGCTCTCCATGAGCTCTCCATGAGATATATGGACTTAGTTAATTGCCATCCACTCTGCACCTTTTTCTTCTTGAGCAAAGTGCTTTCAAAGTCACTGAACAAGGCCTTATCTCAAGGTCCTATCTGCCTACCAGAAAGGGTTCAAGCCAGAATGTGGCATACAAATGACTGTGTGTGACATCCTATTGCACACAGAGAAGAGGGAGATGTACACTTGCATATTGCAAGCT